TTACCAGAGGTAATATTTTATAAGGCTGACAAAAGTAAATGAACTTAATTTTCAAACAAACTTCAAACATTTTCCAGGGACAGACCAAAATGATATTTGATGTATTTGTGAAAAATAAGATGCTTTGGGCTGCATCCTGATCTTTTTTTACACATGGATAAATCAGCAGCAGTTTCACTGAAGTATAAGTAAGACCCCAGTAAAGTCTTGTGTGCCACATTTAGATCGCTGTGATGTGTCTACACATGCAATTACTTTGAAGTAGGCTTACTGCGCAGTAAAAATACTGTGCAGTAAGCCTACTGGGGAGCATATCTACACATGCTCCCAATGGGAGTAGCCAGGAGAGGGCTGCTCCCACCCTGCTCTGCTCCCCTGCAGCAGCCATGAGGAGCTCCAGGCTCCCCCTGGGTGCTAGCTCAGGGGCTGGCAGGGATCACAGGAACAAAAGACAGCTGTCTACTTCCCTATACACATTGGGAGCCCCCAGCTGGGCAGGGAATCCCTGCTCAGCTTGGGGTGGCTAGGAGCTGTTCCACCGGTGGGGCAGCTAGCAATAAGCCCCAGGCTGTGTGGGGAACTTCTGCCCAGCTCAGGGCTTGCTGCTACCTGCCCCACAGGCAGATCAGGGCAGGGGGCTGGGACCTGCCTCTCCCCCACAGGTCTTTCCAAACCCCATGCCCTGATTGCCTGATTGTGGCATGGAGCTGGGCAAGAGCTGTGGGGTTGGGACCTGGCCCAGACCAGGGCAGTTCATGACCAGCCCCAGACTGTGCAGGAAAGTGTGCACTTGCAGTCTGGCTGAAACCTGCCCTGAAATGGGACAGTTCCCAGCCAGCTCTGGGCTGCACATGCAGACTTCCCTGTGCAGCCTGGGGCTGGTGGGGAACTGTCCCAGTCTGGGGCAGGTCCAGGCTCAGTGGGGAACTCTACCCATACAGGGAGCTCCCGGACCCAGCTGCAAATCAGCTTCACAATCTTCTTGCCCCTGAGAGATATCTGCTGCCAAAGTGAACTCAGAACCTGTCCCAGCATCAGGCAGCTCCTGGGGGCAGGGAGCAGTCTCCTAGCCTCCACTCTGATCACAGAGCCAGGGCCAGGAGCTGTCTGCTGCTGGGGCAGGGAGACATTGTCTCTGCCAGGCTCTGAGCTCTGAGCCCACTCCAGCAGCAGGCAGCTCCCAAGGGCAGATTTGCTCCCAGTCAGCCATCTACACATGTGTTACTGCACAGTAACTTCTCCACAGTTAATTTGCTACCTGCACTTGCCTGGGCATAGTTATGTAAGATTACTATGGGTGTAACTTACATCAGAATCTGGTGCATTTCTTTCCTTATATGACTAGTGCTTGTAAAGCCTGTTCAAAGGGCTTTAACATGCTCTGTTGTGGCAAAGCCTGTGAGAGTTAGAACATCATTCTTCAGAGAGATATTTCTCCCTGGGCCACGAATCACATGAAGCTGCCATTGGTGGAAAGGAGTTGGCTTCTTTAAATTTCAAAATTGATGAAGTGGAGCATTCTCTCATGCATTCTTCAAATCTAAATCTTTTCAGCATTGATTCAAAAGAAGGAAAGATGGGAGGGTAGACACATTTTATATCTGGTTATATTTTACAGGCAAAATATAGTTTTTTTGTCCTTTTCTCAAATTCTGAAACAAAATAAACGGAAACAAAACAGATGTTTTACGGAAAAAGTATTTGAAGTTGCAGGCGCTGCCAGTGACTGCTATCTTCCCAGGCAACCTATTTATTAGAACACCACAAAGCATACCTCATGTAGCTTCAAGTGCCTCACAAATTACAGCTTAACTCATTTAAAGCTCAGCAACTCTATGGGGGGTGGCAATGCCTGAAACCCAAGCCTGGCCAGTCAGAGTCACACTCTGGCTGCTGGCCAGGCTCCAAGTGGCCGGCTTGGCACCCTGCTGCCCTGGGAGGCACCCAGGACCTCAGGTAAGGCTGCTGGGGCCAGCATGGGTGCTGGCCTCAGCCTCCCCTACCCCATCCAGGTCTCTTGTCCCATTGCTATTTGTCCCAAACAAAAAGCACGCCCTTGCACACATGCACTTGTGGGGATGCGCCCAATGTTCAGGTGGTATAATTCCAATTTGCACAACACTATTGATACTAGTGGAGCTAAACTTGAATTAAACAGTTGAGGATCCGACTAGAGATTGCTTTCTGTGTACTTTTGCATCAGTTTTGTCATAGTACATAATCATATTTAGTAGAAGCAACTTTTTTTTTACCATAGTGACAAAAAGCTGAAGCACCTTTTTTCCTTTATCTTTTTTTTTTTTTTTAAACACTCTGCGAAAGTCTGATGGGAAAATTAATTTTCAGCAGGGAAACCCTAAGCTAAAACATTGAGCAAGATAATGCTTTTTTTAATATTGATGTAAATCTAGAATAATTCTCCTAAAGCAAGAGGCCTGATTCTCCACTGCCTGATTGTCATTTAGTGCTACATCAAATGTATATAAATGCTAATTACACAGGAAGTATTTCAAATCCATCTTCTCTAACACTGTGGAGAGTTAAATAACTCTACATGGCACATGGTGCATGGACTGAAGAACCAGGCCATATTTAAATGCTCCAAATTGACAGCAGATTTACTCCTGAAGACCAGATCTAAATCTGGCCTTTTCTGTGTCTGTGAAGCTCTCAACACAGCTATAGCACTGTGTTTCTAATTAGTCGTCATTAATAACATATGAGGTACATCAACATGTCACATTAATGGAAACACAATGCTGTTTAATGAAACCTGATTGCTGCAAGGGGATTCGTCAAAAGATCCCTGAAAGGTATGTGGAATCATGCTTCGGTGTATGGTTGCAGTTTGGGTTACATTGATGGCGCAGCATTAAAAAAGTGTATCCAAAAAATAAAAAGGAAGCTTCAGAGTTAATGAATTCACAGTTTGCATGAGTTAAAAGTTTCTTACATTTCTTTTTGTGTGAAATTTGTCTCCATATATCTCAGACTGTAACTGATGTGAAAATTTCTATAGATAGAAGTATTTGTTCTTTTACATCCTATACACTGCTATTCATATACATCCTCAGTTCCTTTTAACAGACCAAGGCCACCTGTTCTGAGATCACCTAGTGTAAGTTACTTTATTCCATGAAAGACTTTTTTATGTCATAGCTTGTTAAGGCAAGAAGTTTCATTTGTGTTCTAGATATCTGTGCCAGCTAAATATTCATCTGGAAAAGGCTTCTCTCGGCCAGCTCGACCAGCAAACCGACGCTTACCTTCTAGATGGGCGTCCAGATCACCATCAGCACCACCTGCTGTGAGAAGGACTGCATACAATTATTCTGTCTCACTTCGGTTAGAGAACTCAATACTCTGAACTCAAGGATGAATTAAGTGGTGACATGAAAGCTCCATGCCTCATTATAGCTGTGTGTTCTGTATTTGTTATAGCAACCAGTTGTACACTGTTGTATATTGTCCAAAAGTAACCCTGTCGCTTGACTTGATGGACAAAGCATTTGGAATCTTAGATCATCATCACAGTCTTCAGTGTTTTTATTGATGAAATAACTATGACCCCAATTTTCTTCTGTTTTTCTTCTAGGGCATGATGAATTTCTTTTGAATGACATCCTTCTTGTTTTGCCAATATATTTGAGTTGACACAATGTATAGTGCTGTATATTCTGACTTTTCTGCAAACAGCAGAATGTAAAGCTGTATGCATGATCATGTGTTTGTAGGTGCATGTGTTGGAATAGGAAGAAAACAGGTCTGTATTTAGAAGAGACAGACTATGTGCTAGTGTTGACATTGACATTACAACATATATGCCTATATATACTTTGTGTTTATTTTCAAAGTTTGAAAATATACAGTCCTGACAACACGTATTTTGTATATCTTTTACATAGGTTCATAGGCATAGCATTTGATGTACCAAACTAAATAAGCATTTTTGTGACTATAACTGCAAGAAAACACCTTGTACAATATGTTTCAGAAACAGACTAGCTCAGTGGATTCTGCAGTCAAGCTTGATAACTTTCTTGCTAAGTTTTCTAACCCTTACTATGCTAGGTCAATATATCTGGAAATAGTTTTTCTGAATTAAAATGTTACATGATTTGTACGACATTAACCTTTTCAACACCCCAGACATTCCTGAAACAGTGAGCTACCCTAGATGCTTACATGTGCCATTTAATTTAGCATCCTGCAGACTGTAGAGATTGAACTTTAGTAATTTCATTTAGTGTAGCATACAATTTATGGAGGGAAGGAAAGGGTGGCTCATGCTCATTTCTTTCAAACTTTTTTCTTTCTATTTCTATATTTAAAGTTTGGCTAAGGCAGAGAAAATTTAGTGTGTTTATTTTTAGTAAAGGCAGGAAAACAAGGAACAGTGTGATTACCAAATGCTGTAGTTATATTCTTTCTTACTCTGCTACTAGACTTAAATGTATAAGTCAACTGCTAACTTACCGCTCCCATGAATTATATAAGTGGCAGTCAGTTATGAAGTTTACTTGCATTCTGGCAACCACTTACACACAGTACATAAATATTACATCAGGAGCCGAAGGAGATGTGATCACTGTGGTGCCAGAAATCCTAGACTGATGGCATTAGAAGTATGTTTTTGCCATCATCTGTCTATATTATTGGCTGTTAGAATGCTACGTGTGTAGCCTGGCTTATTCCCTCCTACCATCTGAATGAAATATCAACACTACTCAGCACTCTTCTTCAATGCTTTTGTTTCTGAGTTTTTTGTACCCATGCTAAGTGATTTGCAGGAGGCATAGCGGCACTGTCCTTGAATAACAAGCACAGTTTCTAAGGAACAAAAAGATGCTTCTTCCACATCTGACAAATCTCATTTAGCATTGCTTTCAGAGAATTGCTTTTGAATGACCTCCTCCTTGATTTGCCTGTATTTTGAATGGAATATCAGATCAGATATCTACCTTTAGCTACAAATGTGGTATTTTAGGCTACTTAGACTTTAGACCATACTCCCCCGTGCAATTCACTTTACCCTTCTGAGCATGTTCAAGAGTGGCTGCAGCCACTTGTGTGGTGTTGTAATCCACCAGGGAAGTCAGATAACTTTGCATAAGCCCCTGAAGTATAAGTCACAGACTAGTGACTGCCTGATAGCAGAGGTGGAAGAGGAAGAAGACCCTCCCATTTTTTGGCCCAAAAGCCTAAAGTTAACCCTGTAAGTGCCATTTATGTGTCCAAAGGTGAGCTGGATGTGGGCTAAGTATCTTGCACTTTTTTCCCCTTCCTCTGAAACAATGCAGTACACATATGGGAATTTCAAGGAAAATCCCACAATCCATTGAAATCCTGTTAAGGGTATGTAAGAAAAGGTGTAGTTTTAGAGAGAGTATAGACTTTTGGTAACATATTGGTGCAATTGTTCAGATGGTACCATGGGGAGCATGAATGGGCTTATCCTGGTAGTGATTTACTGTCCTCTTGGCACATGAAGATCCAAAATATGAAGGCTGTCATTTCTCAAAAGGATTTTACCCTTCAATCCTTCTGCACAACTGGGTATTTTAAGCCTGAGAAAACAAGAGGCCAGGGCATGTTCTGTAGCACTGCAGCCCAGGCAGTTGAAACAGTAGCTTCCTGGACACTAAGAGTTATCAGAAGGAGAAGACATTCTAGCCATAAAGCTAGTGTTCCATCCACAAGGAAGCTGCCTATGTAGCAAAAACTGTGCTCAGAGTACTTTACTGGTATAGCCTTGCTGGTCTGTTTTATGACCAAAAGGAAGGAAACATCATAACAATATTTAAACACTGCAATCATATACCTCTTTCTGCAAACTTAGCTAGAGGTTGGTGAGTAGGACTTGTGGTCACTGTATTGGAGGACAAAATATCTTGCAGCGAAATCACACAGAAAATGCATGGGGGCAGAATAATAATATGTATGAATAAATAAAAAAAAGGCTAAGAGACCTATAGACTATTCCTATTTGTCCTAATTCTAGTTTGGGCTTCTGTTAATTCCCTACAGCTACAACTTTCCGGATGCTTTAGAAGAAAACATTGAATCTAATTGTGCAAGTCCCCAAAGTATCTTTGCAAATTCACCTTTAACATGCCTCTGTGGTGCTAAAGCTGAAGATAAGGTGAGTTTGTATAAGAAAGTTCTGTACACTCATATTTCTAATCTAGCAGGTTATGCTCCTCAAGTTCCCTTCAGGTTGAGATCAAGCAATTTAAATGAAGTTTCCGTATTACTTTGAACAATAAGTGTGCGCTTTTGTTTGAAGCAAGCAGCATAGATGATCAATTTCCCCTTTTACAAGCCAGTTAGGATATTTCTTCAGTTTAATTAATTTTTCTCCCACTTGCAATCTACATCAGTTTGTTGAATAACCTAGAAAGGAACCAAATCCTACACCATGCCCTCACATATGTAACTTTATTTGAAAGAAGGTTATGGAGATGAACTAACAGGTCAAGGGTAAGTCTGCTTTGTCAAGATCTTGCACATCCCTCTGGTGCATATACCTTAATTTTGACATTTAGATACCACAATGATATTGTGCTATATTTACATACCTAGCTGGATATATTGATTTTAGAACATATTTTAGAGATGCCTTCTTTGTAGCTGTAACCACTGTAGTGATATCCACAGTTCAGCAGCCCTCTTAAGCAACCTTAATGATATGGTGTACACTATTGAAGCTGCAAAAAGGTGTTCTAGTTTGCTTCCACTTCTCCCACTTTAGGTGTAGTTGAGAAGACTGGTGGGGTGTGGGAAGATATTCCCCAGCAAAGAACTATAAGTCACCTGAGTGGGGCATTGTCTCCATTGCTCTTTTGTGAACCTTTTTGTCAAAATGACAGCTTTAATGTTATTGTTCCATGTGTTGGTTAAAGTCTGAACGTAGACTTGTGCTCTCTTGTTGAGGATTCTTGAACTGTTGTAAGAGTCTCCATACTGCTTGAATTGAGGGCACTGGCTTGTTTATTTGTCTCAGAAATAAATCCAGAGGGTTTTCAACATCATAAAAGCCTAAGATAGCTAATAAATAAATGGCAACAGGAAAGGAATACTTTAAATTTCATCCCCTCAAACACAGAGGAGTCAAGCACTTCCTAAGTACTGAAAAATGTGTCTATCTCTACAAATCAGCTGCCTCTCTTCCTGGATAGTTAGTTCCTAAAGGGAAGGTATTTTTCTGTTACGTAGTGCAAAGTAATAATTCTATCTCCATCTGATTTTATTATGGACATAAAACACACAGAAACAGGCCTGAAGCCTTGTGTATGCATAAAAGTTGCACACATTTTCCTACATGAATTTCTAAACCAATTGTGTTAAATTAGGGCAAAATCAATTTGTAGACCAGGCCTTAGAAAGGGAGACTATCCTTGACCAACCACTTTGGCTGAGAGACAGAAGCCTCCAACAGGGAGAGAAAAAAATGGAGGGGAAATTTCTTCCAAAGAAATCTTCACATATCCTCCCTCTTTCTTTAACTTGTGATAGATTTCCAGCAGATGATTTATCATTGCTGTGTTTGTGATAATCTTCATATAAAGAGTACATTTTAAATGACACAAAAGTGATGAAACCAGTACTTTGTTAGTTGTTTGTTGGCAGCAGAATTAACTGTGTCCACTGTGCATGCTGTAGGAGGGTCATTATAATTACTGTTTGGCTGCTATAATTGCCAGGTACTGTAATATAATTTGCTAGTGCTCTTCTGAGAACTGTTGTCTTTCTATTATCCTTTCATTTTGTTAAGTATGTACACAACTGTCAGTTTAAGAATGTGTTTCTGTAAATAGGGATCTTGATTCCAAACGGCTTCAGTATCACTTTTTGCCAAATTCCACAGCATACAAAGCAGGCAGGTCAGTTCTATCCCATATTTAATTTATGAACCAACCCAAAATTTCCTAGCATGAAAAAATGAATGCAATTTTCTCAGTGTTTTTATGCAAATAATTTCTTTGGTATTAAGGCCTGTAATATACAATTCTACCTAATATACTGTCAATATTCTCTACAGGAATAATCTGTAATCTCTTTGTGTACTCGCTCTTTAAAATGAAAGGTGGAAGGTATTTATTTTCCTCCGCTAAAATTAAGAAACGTTTTGCATCTGTCCTTTTCTACAACTTCTTGATTCCCAGTGGATGTATATTTTCCATGTAGGCCCTTGCCTTTGGTCTGTATGCATATGCCATACTGTAGGATTTTCTCTTTGTACTGCAGTCAAAGTATTTTTCCCAGCACATCTTGTTCTTAAGCCTCTTGAAATAACTGTTGCCATCAACAACTATATTAGATCTTGTTTTATTGTTTTGCATTACTGGAAATGAACTTTCTTCATCAACTGTTAATGTCATATACTATATAAAACTTGTTACTCTCATACTTTGAAATGATAATCTGTCTGTTTCTGAGGTTTACTTTCTCTCCTCTTTCCTCCTTTACAAAGTTACCTGCATTAGCAGAAATGTGTTCCTAATGTATATGGTTCACTCAGTAGATATGTGGCAAGGGGAGTTCTCACTTACAGTGCTTTGATGTCATGTTACTCAAAACAGTATTGTACTGGAATTTCCATAGAGAAAGACAACCTGAACAATGTGAACAAAATCAAAATGTACAAATAAAAATCAGAGAATAGAGGAACTAATATCAAGATGCTACACAGTGGGTGCATGTACAGATGCGCTCCACTCTGCAGTTGGTACTGCACAGTCATTTAGTACTTGCTGTACCCGCTAGTACTGTGCAGTCCTGGTGACACATGGATTGTTTCACAGTTAGTGCCTGCCAGTGCTACATAGCCATAGCAATAAGATACATCGCCATAGCTCATCACTATGAGCATGTCATGTAGACCCACTGGGTGCATCTACACATTCATTAATGCACTGTACAGGTTTCCCTTGCTTTATGTGGGTTCTATATGTGTGAATTCGCTCTTATGTAATGACCCTTTTTATACCAAAAATTTCTTATATGCAAGGTAAATTCATTCTTATGCAATCAGTGTGGCTGAAGCCCACAGTCAGCTGCTTTTTCAGTGCACTGTGGGATCGATGCACACCAAAATATAGTCTCCTGTATGGATAGGTGCCCCATACTCATTGCCTGCGACACATGTTTCTGTAGTTGCCATCCCAATTATGATAGTGCCCTGTGCTTGTGTGTAGTGTCTGTCTGCTGTTGGTGAGCACCAAAATTGTCTTGTAAAAGTGGTAGAAATGGGCCTGGGGGTTAGTACAGTCGAGGTTTTGGAATGTATCCCTATTTGTTACATTGTAAAGTGGGTTCCCTTTATGTGAATTTGAGTTATGCCCTGTTTTCCAGGAACGCATGTACAGCATAAAGCAAGGGAAACCTGTAGTTACTGCACATTCAGTTTAGTACTTGCATAACTAAGTTCTAAATCAATGTGTAGTAACTGGTGCTACTGTGCAGTAGCATCAGCACATGGGTTTTTATGGACACTAGCTGCACAATAACCTAATACTACTGCACACTAGTATATTAGCAAGGTTGTTGCCTGGCACACTACTAAGCAGTGTTATTAGGCTGCTGCACAGTTAGCATCTCACGTAGACACACCCATTTAGTAGTTAATGTTGTGGCTAATTCTTCACTCCTAAGAAAAGACTCCTTTATACTGTATAAACTGTCATGTGAAATTTCCAGTAGTATGTTTTTTCTTCCACAGATACCTCTTTTAGACCCCAAATTGCAGTTTTACTTCTTCATTGCAGCACATTGTTGCATAAGTAAATACAAAATGATCAATGCTCATATTTTCAAAATTAACATTGACAATGTAAGAATAGGCATTTTGTTCTGCATGTAGATTATAAATCCTTTCAGCGACATCCTTGTTTTATCAGAACTCCCTTTTCATCCACAGGAAACAGCACTGCACAGGGAAGAGTCTTTTAGTACCGCAAAGTACGGGCATTCCTATAAAGTGTCATGTGATGAGTATTTTGCTCCACTATGCTAAGGACTGAAATATTGGTCATGGCAGGTAGTGAGGGAGGAAAGGCTTCAGTGATTTTGGCTTCATGCCAAATCTATGCTACCCTCTCCTACATGGGGACATCGTTGCAATGCCTAAGCTTTCTTCTAGGAAAGACGTTTTCCCTGGTAGTTTTCCTAGAGACAACAGCCACCATAAAGTGGCTAAGTAGCAGCAGGAGTTGTCATGGGATAAGGTTGGTTCACTGTGTAGAGGGTATTTGATTTGCTTTTCCCCACTCAAGGATGAGGCAGTATGGTTCCTTCAAGGCACTCCTTTTAAGTGACTCTTGATGCTCCTCAAGATAGCACAAATGCTACCTTGTACTTATTCTCTCATGAGGCAGTTGGAGTCACCAGGGGAGTTACAGCAAGAATAGTTATATTAAGATTTTTCTTATGAAACTGAAATGATAGTAAATATACGTAGGTCTGAATCAATGGCCAGCAATGGATTTCAGTTACTCTTTCAGCAAGTACTATCATACTTAATTGTTTGCAGAGAGAGCAGGAAATGAACTTGGAGAAATAATCACATTCAAATGGCAGGATCTGTTATGATGAGATCTGTTATTATTATTTGAAATAGTAAATTGGGATCACATACGTGTCATTTTGTATTAAATTCTATGCTAGTTGCTAGGCAAAAGAGAATGAAAAGAAAATGTGCAACTGTAATACAAAGGTTTCCAGTTTTTTTCATGATTTCTCCCACCAGCTAACTATGAGCTGCTGTGTTTTTATTTAACTCAGGTGACAAAAGCTTATGTTTTGGGCAGTAAAGGTGCCTGGGGTTGGTTCCCTGCTGATGGCTTGTATGTACACAGCCAGGACTCATTACAAAATGGGACCTGAGACAGGACATAAACATCTGAGCATCCCAGATAAAATTGTCTAGTGGAGGAAAATACAAAATGCACTTATCCAATGCATGGGATTGTGTCTCCTTTAGTGTTTGGCCTTAGTAATGACATAAGCAGCTGTTTCGTCAGTACTGATGGGGGGGCCTATAACTCAACAGGTTGCCCTGTGTTTCTGGTACATAAGGTTTCACATTTGATCCTTGCAGACATCTGGTAGTTTCTCTATGTATTGGACCATGGGTTCATTGCATCATCATTTAACAATGCATTTAAGGAAAAGTTCCCTCCATTGAAGCAATTACCACAGTTGGAATCAGCTAAACCAGATTTGTAGCAGGAAAGGATTTTCAATAAAAACCTCTTATTTCTTTTAGTTGTCTGATATACATTCTACAAACACTGGGCATGGTACTAATACAGAAGACCATGCAGAGCCACTAGTTCTACTTCTACCAGCATGCCATGCTTCCAAAAGGTCACCAGCCTTAGTGTTAAAAGAGACTGAAATAGTGCAGAATTTTGGAAAATAATCAAAAACTGAAGATCAAAGCCCCTTATAGGCAGATACACACATACCAATGGGAGGACTTTTTTGTCCCCTGTATCCAATTATTTTTTCAAATTCAGTCTGAGCTAGATTGGAAATCCCTTACTTTTGCTGGTGAGATATGCTATACATGGTTCCTCTAAAGTCAATAAGACTACTCATGAGAGTAACTATCAGTGAAAGTAAAGGATGCATAGCCTGGCCCTTTAGAATTTCCAATGTCCTGTGTATTTGCTGTGGCCTAGATGTACATTTGCAGTGCTGATAGGCACACTATTTAGCACCTCTCTCCACAAAAAGTCCATTATATCTGATAAAGCTACTCATGGTGCAAGATACCATTGTGTGCATATTCAAGTATCACTATCAAGCCCCATTTAGTACAGACATATGATCTATTATGTGTCTATATTTACAAATAAACCAGTTCCTCTTAAAGAAGGTTAAAAGTACTAGCTCTCACCCTGGTTTTGCCTCTTGTGGGGAAAAAAAAAACGTAGGGAGATAAGACCCAGAAATCTTTGTGTGTAGACACTACAGAGTCTATGCAATGTCATTCCATCATGGGTCGAGTACAGGTTGACTTCCCCTTTGTTATCCCAGTACAACCAGAATAGCACTACTCGTGTGAGTAACTGGCATGATTCCTTTAGAAGCTGTGCTTCCTCCTCCTGCCACTAGAGGTCAGAAATCTCAGAGTCATTTTGTGGAACTTAAATACTTACAGGAATTTCCAGAGGTCAGCAAGGGAATGAGCTTAAAGCGACCAGCTGGATCAACTTCTCCACCTGGCCCTGCCCTTCCTCTTCTCCATTGCCTCACCCACCCCAAGCACTCAGACTCTAGAATGCATGGTATCTTCTATGTCCGAGGGAATACTGATGGTTAAGGTCTTCTCCCCAATATTAAGCACTTACTGTTGCATGCTTGTTACTGCTTTTTCATCTTAAACAAGAGGAGATTATTTTCTCTTTTATGTACAGGGATCACCGCACCCACCATTGAAATACAAGCACCGTTTGGATGGAGTTCTGCAGCTTTAGCACACAGCAAGACTTCATGACAGACTAGCACAAGTGGGAAGAATTCCTTATTCAACCGAAAGCTAAGCTATGTGCACAGTGCAGCAATCCAAGCTGGGCAGTAAGTATAGTAGAGGAGAAGGGAACCATTTAAAATCCCCAAAGAGATTGATCACGACTTTTCTAACTAAACTTTTTCTTTAAGCTTTTCTCTGAGAAACAAACAAGATTTTTTGCCTTCCTTTTTTTTTTTACATGTGGAAAATGGGCAATGAAAGTAATTTGAAATATTTGGAAACTAAGAATAGCAGTGGTCTCATGATTAGGAAAAATCATCTTGGTCGCCAGGCCTCCTATTAACAGCTAAAAGCCAAATACTTTTTTTTTCTCTCCTAGGAGATGCCATTCAACATTAGCACATCCTTTTTATTTTTGTCTAGACTGCTTGGTTTAATAGGAGACATGCACTGAAGTAAGCCCCAGAGAAGCTGTCTGATGTAATGCTGGAGGCAGCACATGATGTTCTGTGATATATAAGAAAAGAATAGTTTAGTATTTCAATGTGCTTTTTCTCCATACTGCCCCACACACACACACACACACTCACACTCACACTATATGTTCTATTGTTTCCCTTCTTTTTTCCTTTCATGTAGAAACTCTTAAGTCAAGTCAGAATGTTATAAGAAGGTTAAGTCCTGTAAGTAACAACCTGTGCTGAGCTCTAGGGAGCTCTCTGTACTGACCCATTAACTGCCTGCACAGGGGTTTTACGGAGACCTGTTTATACAGAACTCAGTGCCACATAGAGGCCTTACGTCTTAACAACAGCTCACAAATCCAGGTGTCTTGCAAGTAAGTGCCTTTTCAGAATGCTTCTGACATTCTCTGTTGCACAAATAACCCCAGGATTGCCCTTTGACGAGCATCATGTGGGCATCTGTTGCTTTCACTGACAATTTATCCAAGTATAAAAATAATATCTCATGATTTCAGTACAGCCTAACATGTGACTAAAATCTGTTTAACCAAATCAAAGATCATGTGAATGGGAGTAATTTCATTGACTCCAGTGGGTCAGCCCTTCCAATTATCCACAGTACATGTATGGCACTGGCAACTATAGTGCTGTGTTCTCTCCAGTTACTGACACATGAGTATATCTACATTAGATCCCTGTGAAACATTGTGAATTTGTTTCACAATGGGTCAGACAATATGCTTCATTGGTGCCATTTTGATTATTTGCACCTGCTCCTAGCTTGAGTTTTGCTTTGATTTTGAAGACAAACAGGTCATTTGGAGACAGATTTAAATTCTTCCAAATCCGGGTGAGTGGATGCAGAGTTTTGATTCACTTCATTATGTAAACAGGATCCAGCTGTAAAGCTTAGCTCCACATTTGGATCAGTTTGGAAGGAAAGGAGTACTTAATTCCAGGTCTGTGGTTAGGTCCCTCTTTAATTCTGTCATTTTTTAGACAGGGAGTGTGTTTGAATCAGCCTAAAATCTCACAGCAGACCTCCAGTCAAGCTGCCAAGCGTGTCCTGGCTTCCCTGGCTGAAGCTGAACTTTATATAATTTTGAAGTGAAGCCAAGAATTGGACACCTTTTAACAAATATTATCAGGGTTTAGAGCTTGTAAAGAAACTTGAAACATTTTGCCTGGTGCAGGATTCTTTGCAAACGTTTCACATCCTCCTAACCTACAAGGCCTAACTCATGAAATCAATGTGCTTGCAGGTTTGCACCTGATAGCTAAAGTTGAAGAAGAAGTGGCAGTATTCTGGACAAGCTCCACCTGCGTGATAAGGATTTCTGCCAACTTAGTGAAAGAGCTAACACTCGCACTGTTAGGCTTCAAATAAACATTCTGATCAATGGGAAATATAAAAAAAAGGTATTAATGGAATTACTCTCTAGTCATTACTAAATTCCCAGCACTGCACCAAGTTCTTGTGTAGAAAGAAGAATGTATGAATCTATATTGAAATGTTCTCTGTAGTACTCAAGGAATGGAGATTTCCCATTGGTTCCCAGCATCTAGTTAGGCTATGTGACAGAAGCCACTAGTTTCTGGAACCCTTTTTACCTTGAAAGGATGCATGGGCAGTCCCCTGTTTAATTGATTTAACATTTTTTGAAAAGGGATAGTAGATTTTTCATTAGCTTAACTATTGCAGTGACACTGCTAAAATGCAACCTCACCTCTGCTCTTGCTGAGTTTCTTTCTGTAAGTAATATGTAACTGGCAGCAAAAAAAGAAAAATGTTGTTCACGACAATGGCATGATCTTTTGTTGACTAATTGGATATAACAGAAAGGCTAGCTGCAGCAGGAATGAAAAAAGGAAATACCATTCCTGAATTCCTAAGTTATTTGGCAGAAATACATAAGGCTTGGTCTTCATTTTCTTTGGATTTAATATAGCTTAAAAACATACTGTTCATTGCTTTCCGTTGGATGAATATAAGCAGGACATTCTTCCCTTTCCATAATTTTTTGACAGGTGCTGGACTGCAAAGTTATTTTCTGTTGTCACATAAGAAGGATT